TATAACTGAAAATCTGTATTATTTCTAAATGTAGTAAGAAATTGAATTGTTCAGCTTTCTCAATTAAAAAGACATCTTTTGGCATTAGTTTTGTGTGAATTTTTTTGGAATAGTACGAGAAGACTAAAACCCAGCCTTTATGTTGTTAAATATTAAGATCTCCAAAGTGTCTAACTGCTACTACTTTCACTGAAAGTTAAATACTTTAAAAAATATAATCAGATTTTCCACTGCAGCTTTTGCGTCACTTCCGCAAGTTCAGCATGCCCTATATAGATACCTAATTCGTATACTGGGCCCTGTAATAAGGCTATTTCTGTCGATGAGATTCCAAATTTATAGACACTGATGTCAATGCAGATGAGGCTGGCCTAATATGGTCAAGGGAGGGATGTGCCATGTTAAATCTTCTTTACACGGACAGATAAAGGTTAGTGCCAAGATTGACAGGTGTCCAGTGGGTGGCAAGGAGCTTCAGAGAAAAAGTTTCTTGCTGGTATTGCTACAATTTTTGTCTCTTTACAAAATAATGCAACATATTTGTGCATTTCCAATATTCCTACTAGGTACCTAGCCAAAATAGAAAATGTGTTCTTTATTTTCATGTGTAGAATTTGTGTTCTACAGTCTCTATAATCTGTATTGCTAGAAAAATCAATTTCTCTTAATTTTGGAATGTGATGGCCAAATCTGAGTCCCATATTTGTTTCGGCTTGCTTTGAAAAACTGAATATGAAATGTCGTGATGTACAGCTCTGAAATAACATTTTTGTAAAGGAAGAAGGGGGCATTTACATATGACATAATTAGAGGAGGTACAGTGAAACGTTTGAATAAAACAGGGAGAATAATTGTAGTGCTATCATGATTTAAGCTGGCAAATGAGATGCTTATACAATGATAGGCAGACAAGGTTCTTTGGGTAAATCTGATATCTTTCATTTGACCAGCGTAAATCGTTGGAAGAATGCAGATGGATCTGCAAACGCTTCCTCAGTCTGATGAAGGATGTTTGTGCCCAAAAACTTGCTAAAAAGAATTTGTCCAAGTATTTGAGTTGGTCTAATAAAATATATCGGTTTTGCGTGAAGAACCTTGTCTGCCTATGCCCTTAGACCAGGGGTGTCCAACCTTTTTGAATGTGGGGCTGGATCATGAACTTTTTATCACCTGGTGGGCCATACTCAAAGACCTCACAGGAAGTGGTATCACATCAGGAAGTGATGCCACGTGACCTTTGACACCAACGAAGTTGCAGGAAGTGAAAATGAAATGCGGTTTAAAATCCAAAATAAAAACAATATAAACAATATAAAAGCAACAATGAAATAATACCAAACACTCTCATTCCCTGTCTTCTCATTCCTGTGTTTAGGGTAGTATAAATAATTCAGGAGCACCTTGCCTCAAGGAAGCTGCTAACGTGCACATATACCTGTGTGCCTCTGTTCACTACAGTGGCTGGGTTAGCAGGGTGTGAAGTGAATTCTGGGTAGACTAAGTTGTTGAAGTGGCTTTGAAGGCCAGTAGAAGGCAAGGGAGTGTTCTTGTCTCCTCTTTGCTTGTAGGAGGTTAGTGATTCTCAACCAGGGTGTTGAAGGCACCCTGGGCTTCTGTGGGATCCCCTTATGGATGTCATTAATATTAGCACTGTTAGGGGTACAAGCACCTACACACGATTCAGAAGATAAAACTTGATTTCAAATAGGAATCAGTAGGGTCAAAAACATTCTGATCGGTTGTGGTCTGAGTTTGTTGAAGCAGCAGAATTGCACTATTGGTTTTCAGTAGTCAAAAAGGTGAAAGCTATGACCTGGTAGTCTGTGAGGGGTGGCTCGAGTCTGATGAGGTTGAGAACTTCTGGCTTAGGTGATAAAGCCTTTTTTCAGTTGGAGAGCAGGTGCTACTTTGCTGGTAAAAAGTGAATCTGCTGCAACAGGGGAGGCTCAAGTATGGAAACATTCCCATTTTTTTTGCTGGCAGAATTATATAGCATAGACATGGTGTTGGTGCTCCTTTCAATTTTTAGTGTGGCGTTTGACACCTAAATAGTTTCGTTAGTGATTCAGTTTCTTGAAGCAGTGCTTTCTGGAACTTGCAGTTCACTGTTGGCAAGAGATTGAAATCAAGTGGAATCTCAAAATTTAGAATTTTTGCAGTGTGAACTAGCCTTTATTTGCTACTACAGTATAAATGTTAAATATATAATTCTTCAATGCTTAAAAACATGCATTTAAAAAAAATAACATAACTATTGCATAAAAGTATCCTTTAACTTTTTTTATAACTTTTTAAACTTTTATTTAAAAACCATAAAACACAAAATATTTAAACAGTGCATGAAATGTCCCAGATAAATACCTGTCATGTATTACCCCTATTTTACAGAAGGAAAATTGAGGCAGTTACTTCTATTTTACAGAAGGGAATTTATGAAATTCATGTGCATAAATAAGTATGTGACAGCAAGGAAGTGAAAGTGAGTTTCCAGAATGAAGTTAGTACCCAAAACACTGCACCAGCCTACCTTTTTAAAAATCCTTGTTCTCACAATACATTTAAAGCGTGGGGCCTTCTAGCATAAGGATATAGAGAATTGCTTAGATGCCTGCTCAAAAGTAGAAATACTTTGTTCGAGTCTTTTTTAGAAGGTGGAGAAACAAATGGTTGATGAAGCCATATCCTGATGAATGTTATGAGGCACGGTGAGCAAATGTGGAATGGTAGCAGAATATGCTTTGGGGCTGAGTAAAGGCAAGATTATGATTTTTTTTTAAATGTAAAATGATGTGATGGACTGTTTTGTATGCTTAAAGGAGAGTAGGCTGGTCTGAATTACCACTGTTTATGAATTGGTGTGTACTTACAGGCTATCAACCTTTCATTGCTTCAGTGTGTGCTGGATTAAAGGCTGTAAGGAATACTATTTATACTTACTATTTATATTCAATCTTATTTGTCCAGAAGGAAACAATGAGAAAATGTAAAATGAAGCTAATATTGGTGTGATGGTCTGAGAATCACTAGCAATTTCCTAGGAATTCTTCTGCCTGTTTAGAGCACGTTTTAACACACAGGAGATTCATCCCCAAAGTTCCTGATCCTGGATAGCATCTCAAACAGGTTGGATAATTGTTGTAGCCACAGTGTTCCTCAGAATATCTTGCTTTTCTTTGTCAAACACCATATTTTGTTTTCTTATCCCATAATCACAGTAGAAATGGTCAAAGCATCTTTTTCCCCCCTTTATTTGCTGCAGCTTCTTTTTTGTGCTTCCTGTGCATCTCCTTCAAATCCATGTGATCTTTTTCTAGAGAATGTAATTGTGTACTTCCATTATGAGAATTTATATTCCTCCAGAGCTTTGTCCTTGTTCAGAATTCTGTTGCTGAAGCTGCGTGGTATTCTAATAGCTAGGCCATACCTTGATGGGTCATATACTCTTGCTTTTGCTCCTGATACACAGATGAAGAGTACCCTTGATTTCATACAGCTTTTTATTCTGCCTATGGGGCTGCAAGTAATAATAATAAAAAATAACCTTTATTAGAAAAAATGCTAATCCCCTAGCTTTTTTTTTTTTGCCTTCAAACTTCCACCTGTTCAGGACTTTTCTTGAGAAATTATCTTGCGAAAAGGAATTTGTTTATTCTACTCTCTCCAGCATCCAAAACATTTTAAGCAGAAGGACTAGCTAGTTACTTGAAGGCATAGTAGCAAGGATGATTTACATTGCAACTTTTCCAGGCTGCAGCACCTTTACAAGATCTTAGTTCAGAAATCAGAATGAAGAAAGAAACATTGGAAATGAGACCATACATCTCTGCTCTTAAAATGTTTCTGAAGTTTGTAAAACAATGAACTGGAGTTACTGAAAAGGCATTTTAAATGATGAAGCTGAGAGGGATGCTTACCCTCTACAGTTGCAGATCCTTTAGACTGAATGACATTGTTTCTCTTTACACTCCAGGAAAAGATTAATTGCTGCACTAGTGGCAGATTGTCCTAACATGCAGATAGTCTGGGATTATAATGTCTCATGGTACTTTTAAAGTGGGTTTTTCTCTCTGATGGCATGGACAGGTGAACATGTTGCTGTGCGGTAAATAAAGACAAAGGAAGAAAGAAAGGTAAGGTACTGAAGCCTTAACTTTTACTTACTGTGGGTAGTGCCTTTACATGGGAGTGCCTCTTCAGCCACTGATGTGGTGTGAAGCCCTGCCCTTACTCACTTCATCGTAATTTGTTAATGTGTCCATGCCCTCGAGTGCAAAGCCTTATCAGAATTTTGATGCGTTTTTAAACAATCTTTTATCATTGGTAACTGTTCTGTTTCAAAAGCTGGAGATGGCAAGCCCTGTGAAAACTGCAAGCAGCCTTGGACTGTGGATATGAAAGCAATATTGCCTTTGGTCATGGGGTTTTAGCACAGATGGGTGGGATTACTATTACACAGGAATGGGTGCCCCATGGGTTTATGGGAAGGGACTGCATGCATTCACTGCATTAATCTTGTAGCAACATGAGATAAAAGCAACCTTGAGCTGTAGCCCAGAGTATTGTGGCTACCTTGCTGTTTGGAACTGATAGCAGATTATCTGAAGTGTCTGAATGTCAGCTTCAGTGAAATGCAATAAAAACAAGGCTTCTCACAAGAAATAAGACAAGCAAGTGCCCCATACTGTGCAACCCCTGGTACTTTTGCAGTTTGCTTTGAGCTTTTCCAGTATGACATCTTGTAGTTATTTTTGTAGCTAGTCCTGTTAGACTCAGGTGCATTTTTATAAATCAGTTTAATCTTACGTTTTTCTCAGACCAGTTGGTATTTCCATTTGCTTTAATAAAATGTGATATTGTGCATCTCCTTTGGTTGTAAAGTGTTGCTGCTCATTGTTGTATTCAGTCGCAACTGTGCAGTGAGACATACAGGCAGTACTCTCATGCAGAGTAAATTCCCAAAACAGTCAGGTGATTCTGGCACTCATGCAGCTGCTTGAGTTTCAAGTCAGTGCCTCACTGTCTTCTGTCACACGATTGCCTGTTATTTATCAGGCTCTTAAACACCCAAACAGCTTTCAGCGCTGGCTGGATTTAGGAAAGAGATTATGCTACTATCTTTTGGGTGATCCAATGGGAATTACATTGATCTGGTGTTTAGCCCTGATTCTTATCAAGTGGATTGCATCCAAGGTAGGCCATGTTGTTTTGACTAAGTGCATTTATATTAGTCCGAAAAGGAGTCACATAGTTAAGAACTGTTGTTTACAGATGCTTAGATTTGTCCAAATTCTAGTATCTGTTGTAGTAATCTATCCTTAAATTAGGTTGTGCTGCTTAAATGCTTATACAGATTTAAATGGCTTTTTTGGAATACCCCTTTTAAGTATGATGTATATTTCTGGAGTAATGTTAGTAGGGTAGACAAGAGAAACCCAGATTTGTTTCTGTGCAATAATGGGACCTATTTTACTAATATAACTTAACTTTACAATAGTTTAAAGAAACTACAGACTTTAGGGCATGGGAAACTTATTTTCAAAAAGTATTTATTTTTATGCAGCATGGCTTAGTTTTTCATATGTTAGTTTGGCTGGATAAATTTTGTTTTAAAGTGTGTTGCAGTGTTAAAAGATTAAATTTTTGGTAGTCTTTTTTGTAGTTTTCTAATTTCAGTCCTTGTGCCTATTTTCATAACATGAGGCAGTCTAATATTAAACTTGTAATTGTCCTCTACTCATATGTACTATGGAACATTCATGTCTCTTGTAAATGCATGTTATTTTCTAATAATCATTTTAAGGTAAAATCTTGCCCTTGTTAAGTCAATGAGGGATTAGCCTTCCTTGTAGTTGGGCCAGAATTTCACTTCTAGTCCTTTTTGCTTGTTCTAGGGACAACATTGGTTGTCTTATTGGTTCTTATTCTTAGTAGCCTCAAATTTTAAATGAAAAATAATGCTACAAAAAGTAGGGCATTAAACAGTGAGTTTGGGAAGGTAGTTCTGGAGTTAGTGGGAAAGATGAGAGACTTGAAAAAATCAGAAGTAATATGTTAATTACATGCTTGTAGTGCTGCTTATTAATATTAATAGCTTGGGTACAGAGTACTGCTTTTGGGTTGAGCTAGACATGATGAGCAATATTTCCCAGACAGCTGTACTAATGTTGTTCGGTCACTCATTACCTGCAATGTAGCTCTAGGCATAAGCAGAGACTGACAAAATTCTCAGTTCTTAGTAAATGACGTGGTAGTTTTCTAATGAAGAAAGACTAAAATGTGCCTATTAATGTTTAGTTGTGAGAGACCAAAATTAAACCCCTGGTTACTTGAAGCTTTACAATTAATGAAATATCCCGTTATGTCATGCAGCTATTATCACTCTGAAAGAGTTGTTTTAATTTTCTTAGAAACTACTTGGCTGAGTGAGATTTTTTTTTTCCCCCTTTAGAATGGACAAATATTACTGCGGACACGGAAGAGTAATTAGCAGTTCTAGATAGCTGACAAGACTGCTGGTGCAAAAATTATTTACAATTTACGTAAAATGCCAACCACCATTTAAAACTGTTTCTTTAAAGTGTAATTTTTATTTCTTGCACCTATTCTACCAGTTTGCTGCTGCTTTTGTCTCCATTAGTCACTCATATGACTTTTTTTCTGTTATGCTGTCCTGTTTTTCCCTGTCTTTAATGATCAAGGTCCAGTCTCTGCACCTCCAAATTCCTCTTTTAAAGCCAATTAGCTCCTTCTGCTTGATTCTAATTACAGTGCTTCCCAGGTCTTCTGCCTTGGACAATGATCAACATTAAAGCATAGCACTCTCCAGTCAGGTAAATGAGAACCTGTTGAGGCAGTTGTCTGTGTGTCACAGCATGTCATAATCCTTTGAAGTAGTTACTGAGATCAGTAAAGCTGCCCAACAGACTGTATAGACAAGATGTAGGGAGTTCCATTCTCTAGAGCCCATTTATTTTAAGACCCATCTCATGGATGCCTTCAGCCAAAGTTCAGAGCATGCTACCAAACGACCTTCAAGTTCAGGTGAAATGGTCAACTCTACCTTTCCTATTGCTGTGTCAGAAATCTGAACTATTCAACCAGGAAGTGAGTGCTTTTGCAATGTGGGTGCTCACCAGCATGGTGATGCAGGAGCCTGGTCGCAACCTTTTGTGCCAAGAAGCTAAATACATTTGGCATCCTATTATCTTAATAGCCTTTATTTTTGCAGGCTTTCTGTGACAGACTCACTACCCTTTTCAAAAGCTGAGGGTGGCATCTAAAGCTTTTGGCCTTCCAGGCTTCCCCATATCAACTTGTTTGATGTGCCACCACCTTAAATACTTGATATTCTGCTTCAGATGAAGTGAGTGTTTGGGATCCCCTCAGATGCTTGTTTTGTCCCTTTGCTTGTACTAGATCCTGAGGATCATAGATATCTGGGTCTTGTGGAAGCTTGCACAGACCAGTGGATTATTATCCCAAGAGTTTGATTTTATTTATTTATTTATTTATTTATTTATTTATTTTGCAGAAGGTAGCTCTGGTATTCAGATATGAGAGAGTTGACAGGCTTTTGGTGTCTTACAGCAGGTTGAATAGAATATGTATTGGAATGATAGGTGTAGGCTACAAATTTTTTGGGATAAATCACTTTTTGGGATAAATCATAAAAGGATAAGTAGTGCTGGCAGCTTTTTGTCCAGAGACACCTGCTTCTGAACAGTTTATTTTGGGATTACATCACTGAATCTGTCAGAAGAAGTGACAGTACATTCAGGTGCTCACTAAACACTGATTAGAAGAGCAATGTGCATACAC